GCCTCAGGCCTCGGTTTCCTCTGCAGACACGGCCCACAGGCACAGGGCCCAGCTCTGGTCTGTGACCGGTCTGGACCACAGTTTCTGCAAACAGCTGAACTCCTCCACCCTCCCTCCCTCTGGGGCCTGGGTGGGCAGAGGGGGCTCCCTGGAGGGGGCTCCAGGTCCGAGCAGCTGTGGGATCTGAAGAAGGTGGTCACCCCCAGGCTCAGGGCAGGGCCCGCAGAGCCATCGAGGACCCGGGCAGTCACCTGCCCTCTGGGCTCAGGCCGGCAGGAGGAGAGGTGGGCAGGGGCATGGGCTCTGGCTGCCAGTCCCCAGCCCCCAGGAGACGCGGAGGCTCTGCCGCCTAGTGGGAGGGAGAGCTGCTGGGAAAGTTCCGGTCCGTGGGCCAGGGGGCATTCCGCCGGCCATGCACCGTCCTGAAGCCGGGCCCCAGTGTCCCCCTCTGTCCAGTGGGGCCAGCAGACGATGGGGGTTTCCTGGAGAGGCACCTGAGACTTCCTGCCCCGGGATCGCGGGGTACACGTGACCGAATCCAGGTCCTGGTCTGCAGGGGGACCCCAGGGCCCCCGGAAGCTTCGCGTCCTCTGAGGCCCAGCTGCTCTTCTGTCACTGACATTTGGGGACCGTGGGCTCCAGATGGTGTCTGACGTCCCTCCAGCTCGGGCGTCTGGGCCGGGATTCAAGACCGTGGTCTCAGGACGGTGCTTCCGGGTGCGGGGAAAGGTCGGCGGCTTCGGTGGGCTCTGAGAGTAAACGTGGCCGCCGCCGTAAATGCATGGAAAGAGCTCTCTCTGGACAGCGGCGCGTTCTCATGGCGCTGATGTTTCGTCGCTGTAATGCCTAATTAAGACATCTGTTAAGTGCCTCTAATATTAACTTAATCGAGGGGCTTCTAGTAGGACTGTACTGGAATTGTCCATTTAATTAACCCGCATGGGCCCTTAATGGGTGTCTTAAACAGGCGTCATTAACGAGAGTGGTAGACAGATTAAAACGAGTGGTGACGCTCCTGGTGATTGTTCCTGGGCTGTGAAGGGCGAGCGTGACGTAGTGGACGCGGAGACGGCTGGGTGCGGGCTGGCGTCCCCACAGAAGAGGCCGCTGCAGCCCAGGAGTGCAGCCCCTGCGTGCCTCTCCCAGGAAGCGGTCCCAGGCCTGGTCCTGGGTGAGGCGAGGGGGTGGTGAGGAGGAAGAGGCAGGAGATGCCGCCTCGCCCAGCGGGCTCACTAACTACCAGCAGGTGCGTGGATCTCGCGCTCATGGCCCCACCAATCTCCTTGAGTCCCACTGGTTCCCCTCGCCCTCTCCACCTCCCAGGCGTGCCTCGCCCAGAGGGCTCGCTAACTACCAGCAGGTGCGTGGATCTCGTGCTCACAGCCCCACCAATCTCCTTGAGTCCCAGTGGTTCCCCTCGCCCTCTCCACCTCCCAGGCCCCAGCTCCCACCCCCTCCTGGCATCTCAGCCACAGCCTCCCGCCCCCTCCCTCCTTACGTGGCCCTGGCCACAGCCAGGCGACCTCTGTGACCCGTGACTCCGGTCCTGTCACCCACTCTTCTGCCCAAACCCACGCCTGAGTTCCCAGGACCCTGAGAATGACAGGGGCTCTGCCCCGCCCGGCCTGCCCCTGCCACCCTCTCTCAGCCCCTAACCCCACCACCGTGTCCTGCCGCCTCCGCGCACGGTGCCACCGCCACTCCTGCTCGGCCTCTCGGCTGGACCTCCCACAGGACCCTCCTGCACTCTCCACACCACCTAGCCCTGAACAACCGCGCCTGCTCCTGTACCGAATATAAGACGGGGCGCCGGGCTTGTCTCCACCATCATCACATGGTAACCTCGGGCGACCAAGACACGGCCTCGCACACAGTGAGTGCGCAGTTAAATATTTGTGCGACCAGAAGAAAACAAAACAGCCAAGGGGTGGAGGGGGAGGAGGCACAAAGGGCGAGAGGCCTCCCGCTGCAGCCTCAGGGAAGCGGGACTCTTGTCTCCTGGTTTGGAACTTCCTCCTCCCCTCCCCGGAGAAGGCGCCCCAGCCTCCCCAGCACCACTGCCCACTCTACCCCCTCAACACCTGGTGAGGCACGTGGGGCTTGGCCTGTGTGTTCAGTTGGGGAAACTGAGGCCCAGAGAGCAAAAGCCAGTGGCCAGAGTCATCCTGGGAGTAGTGGGCAGGGCAGGGCGGGGTGCCCAGCCCCATCCCAGCCAGGTTCCTCTAGGTGTGCCCTGCCCTGGCCGGGAGGTAAGGCCCCAGGTAGGGTGGTGGCATTTTTGAGGGTCCCTTGCAGCCTAGAACAGGCGCACTGGCACCCAGGTCAGGGGGCTGAGGGGTGACACCCCACATCCCACCAGCTGCCGGCCCTCTGGCCCCTCCCAGCCACAGGGCAGCTGCAGAAGGGTTTGCATCCATTGTCTGCCCCCAGGGGCCTGCACCCAGCCGAGCTGTGCGTCTCAGCTCCTCCCTCACCCTCTGTGCGGCACAAAAAATAAAATAAAAATAATACAAAACAACAAAATGAGTGACTCGGGAATTGGTGTTTAATGAAGCACCAAGACTGGCTGGGGCCTGGCGGCCGCCTCATGAAGCCGCCCCCAATTCAGTCCGGATGAGCCTCAGCTCAGCCGAGTGTGATGAGATGATTGCTCCCAGGAGTGACCAGCAACCCCCCCACGTCTTCCCCACAGTCGGCTCCGGCTGCTGGCTGCAGGAGGGAGGGAGGGAGCCGCCCCGAGGCTGGGGGAGATGGAAGCACCAATCCAGCTGTCTGGGCTTGGCTCAGTGGTTGAGCATTGACCTATGAACCAGGAGGTCACAGTTGGATTCCTGGTTGGGGCGCATGCCTGGGTTGCAGGCTCGATCCCTAGCTCGGGGAAGGGGGGGGCGGGGGTGCAGGAGGCAGCTGATCCATGATTCTCTCTCATCATCGATGTTTCTGTCTCTCCCTCTCCCTTCCTCTCTGGCAGCAATAAAAATATATTAAAAAAAGAAGAAGGGACCTGGGGCACCTCAGGGTCCTTCTGTCTAAAGTGGTGAAGCAGCCGAAACCAGTTTGGCTCAGTGGATAGAGCGTCGGCCTGCGGACTGAAAGGTCCCAGGTTCAATTCCAGTCAAGGGCATGTACCTGGGTTGCGGGCACATCCCCAGTAGGAGATGTGCAGGAGGCAGCTCATCTATGTTTCTCTCATCGATGTTTCTAACTCTCTATCTCTCTCCCTTCCTCTCTGTAAAAAATCAATAAAATATATTTTAAAAAAATAAAGTGGTGAAGCAGCCTCCGCCCTCTGGTGTGACTGAGCCATGTTCGTGCTCCTGGCTCAAACACAGGGCTGTTTCCTTTTCATTATGTTTCCCCAGCTTTCTTTTTGTTCCCCAACCCCGACACCCTGAGCCCTGATCCCCACAGCCAGGAAGGAGCAGAGAAGTCCTCAGGGAGCCCTCGCTTTTTCCACAGCTTGCGGCCGGGCTGACTCAGCTTCTGCCCCTCCGTGAGTCACGAGTTTTTCCTCTTCTTGGAGGAGCATGGCCCTCCGCCCAGGTCTCCTCCGACCACGCGGCCCCGTGGGGAGGGACAGGCAGCTGCATGACGGAGTCTGTGCCGCCTCCAGGGCCTTCCCCGGAGCTCCATCCAGAACAGCACAGCTGGGAGGAAGGGCAGACGAGGAGACAGAGGTCCTAGTGGACCCCTGACCAACGGTGAGAGGAGGCTTGTTGGGGTCTCCTGACTCCAGGACCGACATCCTTTCCCCAGTTTCCCAGAACCATGGAAACGCCTCCTTCTCCCTTCTCCAGACACCCGCTCTGGGCCTGGCACAGTGCTGGGTGCCAGGCAGGGTGCTGTGGTGGCGAACCACATAGCTGTGCCCTCGGCATAAAAAGTGTGTACAGCTGGGATGGCATTTCCCAGAGTCGCCATGTCCCAGCTGACGTCTGAGCTTACGCCTCGGCCTCTGAGATCCTGGGGGCTGTCTCCGCCTCTGTACGGAGGCCTGGCTGCCCCGTCAGGACCCATAAACCCACAGGCTTCCTGAACGCAGGGACATCAGTGGGCAAACTGAGCGAGAGGGACCCACGGGGCTCTGTGGGGGCGGCAGTGGCCGGGAAACCACCCCTGTCTGCGGGCACAGCTCTGCCTGGAGATGGGCACCATGGCTGACCTTCTGTGCATGTTTGACAATTTCCGCTATAAAAGGTTTAAAGTAGATCAAATGCGCCAGACGGTGTGGCCCAGTGGTTGAGCGTCCACCTCTGAACCAGGTCACCGGTCAGAGCATTTGCCGGGGTGCAGCCCCATCCCCAACATGGGGCGCG